TCGTTCATGCGCAACTAACTTGATTTTGGTTCAGGACGATTGGGCGTACGCTGTAGACCAGGGCAAAGCGGTAGATGTTATTTATCTGGACGTCTCTAAAGCATTTGATAGGGTAAATCATCAAATACTGACACGGAAGTCATGTAACTATGGAATCCTGAGACTCATACTTGGCTGGTTCGAGGAGTTTCTTCGACTACGCACCATGTAAGCCTGTGTTTCCGATTCACTTTCTGATCCAATAGATGCCAACCGTGGGGTTCCACAGGGATCTGTGCTAGGCCCATGTCTTTTCCCTGCCTTTATAAATGATCTTCCTGACGTCCTCGGACCACAAACTCTGCTGTTTGCAGACGATGCAAAAATATGGAGGACAATGACAAATCGAGAAGATTCATTCGATCTCCAGAACGCCTTTGACGAAGCTCACAGATGATCTGTCTCGAATGACATGGAATTTAACGTTGCCAAATGTGAAGTCTTATCACTACATCACAATGATCGTTTTTCCTACACTCTCGGACACGAAACCCTGCCTCATGCTTCATCTGAGAAGGATCTGGGAATAGTCATTCGCTCCACAAACTGTTCAAGGGCATCGTCCATGGTGGTAAAACGGGTTGGTCTGCTTAAACGTGTTTTTGGACCGTTTGAGCCGGCTTTGTTTCCACGTCTGTTAGCAACATATATCCGTCCATACACCGAGTACTCAGTTAATGCCTGGAATCCAAGGCTGCGGCGTGATCGGAAGGCGCTGGAACACCCGCAGAGAATGACTACCGAGATGGTCAAAGATCTACATTCCAAGATCTATGGCGAAAGAGTACAGCTATTGGGGCTATACGCGTCTCAATATAGTCAAATCAGAGGTGATATCATCTTGCTGTAACGGATTTTCCAACAGCCCAACCATCCATGTAGATCTGTTTTGTTTCTATCAATCAATGCGCATCTCAGAAGGTATCCACTGAAGTTGGCACTCCAAAAGAGCCGTCTCGGCTGCAGACGCCATTCGTTTTCAGTCAGAGTGTACAGCACATGGAACTCTCTACCAACTCACGTGGTCTGTGAGCAAACATTAGCATCTTTCAAGCGTTAATTTGATGATGCTCTGGCAAACATTCTGTTTCAACACCCAACTACATAATTTATTCTCCTGTGCTCGTCACAAACATTACGTCACTCTTTACGTTCATGGACTATCTGTGATCCTGTGAATCGTGTTCCGAACCCATAGTGCAGATACCTTATGAGATTTGATAAGCGAATTTATTGTACGTTTTTCTTATAATAATAGTAAACCGACTCAAAAGCTTTCCCTTGGTTGCTTTTGGCAAATCTTTCACTATAATATTACGAAAGATGACCGGTAATATGAAGAAGTTATGACCAAAGAGTGTCTATTCGACTATTTTACTCACTGCCGAGGGATCATATGACCCGTGAATCTAAGTAGTTTTTGACTTTGTGTTGACATCAGTTGTAATGCTCTTTTTCAGTAGAGATAAAGGACTGAATGATTAGAGAGTTGTTAATCGTGCGTTATTCACCTGTCCCATACTATTAAAAACCCTGAAACACTGTACATTCATTTGATCTAATTTTGTTGTGATTCGTGAACAATGTATACAAGCTTGTGTAGGCTAGAACCCGAATTAACAATAGTACTAGTCTCTTGCGGTACATTTGGCTACAGTCTTTGTCCATTTCAATAGATTAACTTGCGTGGCCCTATGAATAATGTCAACACTAAAAGGAGAGGTACATCAGGTACTACCACTAACTGTCACGAATAATGGCTTTTTCTCCCTCTCTCCGTTTCTTCTTGCTTCGAATCTGATCCTGGCCGCCTTGGTCACCAATTCAGTTGACCACAATTACGTTCGGTTATCAAAACCGTGGTGTCTAAGCGATCTAAATCAGTCGGACGCACCGACTCCCCCAACCAAGACTGCAAACGGGACAGGAGGTCAGTGTTTATTGAACGCCCCATCCAATGGAAAGGTGGACGATACGATGGAGATCCCAGTCGCGGAGAGTATGTCCGAACTGGGCCCGGAACAGTTGCTGGTCTCGGACTACACAAATGCCAGTCTCGTCCCCGGTCGAGCTCCCGGGGTGGCCTATTGTCTAGTCGGCTCTGATCGTCTTCCACGCACATATATCGCAGCCCAGGCTCCTGTTGACCACACGCGTGGTCTGTTCTGGCAAATGATATGGGACCACGGTGTGAAACTCATTGTTCTACTCACAAAGTGAGTTCATTGT